GTGGGTCCTGTGCTCCTAACCCCCACAAATGTAGAGGGCCACAGTTAACTGTGGCTAAGTAAAATCACAGTAACAGATACAGATACAGGGGTCCTACCGTACATGGAACATAGTTCCTAAAGCAAAAAAAAAAAAAAAAGGTAATGATTATATTATTGTAAGGGAATTGTAAAATGAATGACATTTCAATACAACCTTGCATGCGATCTACATAAGCCAAATCTTGAAGGTGTTAGACTGTTTTACTGATAAGCTAAATAAACAAACCTTACTTGCCTGCGATTTACAATGTTTTGCGATGCTGATTTATAATGGAACTTTCTCTGCAACAGCTAAGAAGAAATAAACAAGCCTCTACACACACTTCACTCCAAATCTCTCCATGAGCCAATCTGAACACACAGGGAGAGGGCCCTTATACTACTTCTGAATCACTTTTGAATATCCATGCATGAGGAAGTCTAGCTGTCCTTCAAGCTTAGTCTTCCATATGTAGGGCAGGGGCACTTTCAATATTCTAGAGGTCCTTTGCACAAGCTGAACATAATTTATATTAGAACTCATATCCAGTGGGATACTGCCCAAAGTTAAAAAAAAATCAGAATAAGAGAGTCAAACTGCTTCACAGCTTCATTCTTGTTTACACAATTCTTTTAATAGTGGCAAACTAGGGACTTTTAAAATGGGGTCAAATGTTTATGGGAAATTCCTTTTTTTTTTTAAAGGCATCCAATTTTTTTTTTTTAAAGGAGACCCAACTGTTCTCATTGTTAGCAAAAATAGTTGAGGATAAAATACACTCAGACACTAGTCATAAGCAATAATACTGAGCCAGCAACAACTGGGCAGCAGGCATGGCCAGTTCAGAAAGTGGTTGTTCAAGTTTGAAGCTACCTCTTTTATACATTAAACAGTTTAATAGTCCATCAAATATAGACTGGATCTCTGATACCTAACCTAATTCCCCAATGCCTCTCCCTTGCCTTTAATCTGCAGACAACGTAATATATTACTACATTCCTATTAAGCAGGATATGATATATAGAAGCTCTGACCCAGTTGTCAGTTACCCTTTTCTAAGGCACCTGTAGGGATAGTTCATATCTATTACTTGATGACGCACTATTAAGGAGTGATAAGGCTAAGTAAATGAGTCTCCACTGATAGCACAACTGCCAGAACACCACAAACGCAAAATGCTTTTTGTAGTGGTACTTGTGCATACATTCCATTGTGAGTCACCAATCATTGCTATGCATGCACGTGTAAATTGCCCCATAGTCTTACTACATTAAGTATAAGATCTAAGTATAAACAACTAGGTGTAATATACTCCGCTCTGAGAAGAGAACAGGATAAAAATACGTAAGGTGCATGATGTGAAGATGGGTACCATGTAAGGCAGAAATTGGAATTTTCTTTGATATGAGAGCTCTGTTGAAAATCTAACAGAACCTGAAAAAGTACAACTAAGTAGTGCACTCTATTTCAAATTATCCATAATGTATATATTTTCATAAATATGACAGCTGTCAAAATTATTTGTTGCATGTATTCTATAATACACTTACTGAAAATTTTAGTCAATGAGATGAGACCTCAGCACACACAACACAGTATTTCATATAGTTTTTCACTATAGGAACTCCCTAATCAAACATTTCTTTAAAAGACAGTCATTTGTCTTATCTGCAGGAATATGGAAACAAATCATTTCTAGTTCACAATTTTAAAAGTCAAGAAACTAGAAAAGGGTTTGGAAACATTCACTAGCAGACATGGACACTGCATGCAGAAAAAGTCCCAGTTCAATCCTCAGCTTCTCCAGGTAGGCCTGGAAAAACTGACTGACATGCTGGAGAGTTGTACCCAGCCAGTGACAACACTACTGCTGTAGGCAGACCTATAGCCTGACTTTCTATGTTCCTAAAAACAAAAAGTGTTTGTCCCCCCACCACACACACACACACACACTTTATCTGTCTCTGTTTCCATTCTACTCCATTCTATTTTTTCACAATGCTTTTAAACTTATCTCTGCCACTGAAAGAGCTATCGAAATCTAAAAATTTTGCTGAATGCCTACACACATCACACAAGTACTTTGATGACTATCAAGTGAGCCAACTGTCACGAGACCCCATGCATTTTTTCTACAAAAATACAGAAAAGAGGGAGTGTATGTGTGAGCATACATGTATACATATGAATTATTAATAATATTTGCAAGACCAGTTCAATGTATTGTCTGGCTGTATGTCATTTTTGCTGCTTTTATTTTTGTGGTTTTTTTAAATTAAAATATTAAAAAAGTAAAGAAGGGTGAAGTCCTATTAACATGGGAGCAAGAATTAGGATTAGAATCAGCAAAGGTTGTTGCAAAAACTCTGGCTACAGATAAGAGTAAGGGGTTTTTAGGATTTTTAGAGCCACATATAAAGTTGCAAGGGGATCATAGCCCTTGCCTGCCTTCCACCTCTGGATAGTATGCTTGAGCCATGCCAGCTTGTGGAAGAGGACCAAGTGTCTGGGAACACATATTTGAGATACAAAAATAGCCATCCTTACACACGTGCAGTATCAGCCCTCATCCAAATGTGCTGAACATCAAAACCCAAGTCCTAAATTTAGTTCAAACTATCAGATTGCTATATCACATCAGTAGCAGGCATTATGCCTCAAGCTACTCCTGAGTGAAGATGATTGCAGAATTTAAATTGTTGAATAAGTTCATGAGTAAACTAGAGACAATATTTTTGGATGAATCTACTGCACTTCATTGGTGCAGACAGAAACAGCATATATTTCTTCCAGTTTCTTTTCTACTATTTAGCCAAGGATTTAAATGGAGTGTCATCAGCAAGGGCCCATTCCTTCACCAACTCAGCCACTCTCTGGTGAAAAACTGTTGCACTAATGCATCCCAAACTTTTACACATGAGACTAAAATAGTTCTGTTGACTAATATGTTCTTACACAAAGGATCTTACATAATCATGCAGCTACTAATGCTTTGTCAAAGAAGAAATGAGGCAACCTCTCACCTAGCTTGGTCCTCCTTAAAATAACTTCATTTCTGTTCCTAAATTAAACTGCACCGGAAAAAAAAGTTGTTCAAGAAAAGCAAGTTCCAAAAGTGAGGTGTATACATGGTTTCCTCCTTCCCTACATGTTCACATGGGGGCAAGTAACAGAAAAAGACTTCTTTAACTTTACTACAGGTAGGTGGAAAGTAGGTAGGTATCTTGAAGTTCATAGTACAACAGCAGTTAGGCCATGATGTACCACATACTGATCTTGCAGGATATTTTTTGTCAGTTACTAATAATGCAAACAAGAAAAGTCCATGTAAATCGCTTTGAGTTATTCTTAGGATCTCAGTACATGAGCCTTAGCACTTTGCTGCTTTGTTTCATTTATGAAAGCAACTCACTATTTCTCAATTTATGTCTGCTTTATTTAATGATTATATTGAATGGAAAACAAATTGATTTGATGGTCTCGCCTAGCTTGGAACTGGGCCTATCCATGCTTGGAAAACATAATACGTTTTTAAGGGGTTTAAAGGAAGCCGTAAAGAGGTGCCTATCTTTTCACATACATAAAAAAGCCATATGGCTATCTTCTCTGGTGGGCAGGATATTAAAACAACAGAGGCATAGGGAGTGTTTTAGATGGGGGCAGGGGCTTGCAGCCTGTCCTACCCTGCAGAGTAGAGGTACAGACATAGTGCTTTCTCGCATATATTATCCAGTCAGGATAACCTCCAAGGGGGAACCTGGAGGTGTGAGGTTCCAAAATCTTTACTAGGCCCTCTGTTTCTACGCTAGAAAAAAAGCTGCTTCATGGAGATTTAAAAAACATCTCTTCTGGTCCTTAAAAAGTCAGAAGGCCATTTTGGTGCAGAAACCTTAATAAAACTTGTAGATCTTCATCACCACCTGCCATCATATCCTTCACTTGAGAATCATGGATGCTCCAGCAATGCATGTTTAACACGAGGTTTTTAATTAAACAGTCATGTTTAAAATGTTTGTCACTTGATAATTGTAACATGTGAGCTGAACACAAAATAACCACATCAACAGTAGTGGGGCCTCCCCCATAGATGAGGAACGAGGGCATTATGGTCACAGAGATGGCAGAGGGAGGCCTGAAAATAGGAAACTGCCCTACACCAGCTACACGCTAGCCCAACTGACTGCAGCTCCCCAAGATAAAAGGTAGACCAGGAAAAAAATCAGGAGAATAAATACTGTAGTTCAACTGGGCTGCGTTAAAGCAAAAGGCCAATGGCTTCAATAGGGCTGGGAAGGTTTAGCCACTTCAGTGGGTTTCCTTGGGAGCACGTCCAACGCAGGGCATCTCCAACTTTACAAAGCGGTTGGGAACGAGGGCCACGAATCGCTTAAATACGATTCGGCGCACCAGGCCCAAAGCCCAACGATCTATTCATAGCTCACTTGACTTTTTGAATAAGTAGTATTGTACCCTAATTAAAGTCGGGTTCTTAACCAGACACAAGCTAAAAATAAAAAGGTGGAAGTAAAACAAGAGCGACCGTTCAAATCAAAAAAATCCTCCTGAAGAAACCACCCTTCCTTGCAAGGCGCGCTTTGGGTCCATGTGCCTTTGCAAGCCTTCTTTTTGAGGCCGTGTGGGTGAGCGCGCCTTTGCAAGCGCCCCTTCCTGGCGAGGGAAGCAGGTCTGCTCGCCAGCAAGCCGGCAGCACTTGCGGCCGAACTCGGGGCAGGAGGGCCCGCGCCTCCCTTTGGCTCGACTCCGTCCTGTCCCAATCGCCCCCTTTTCCCCCCACATCCATGGACTGCTGCGCCATCGAAGGCCCGGGTAGCTTCGCAAATAGCAGGGCGCCGCCAGCCAGCCCTGCCCGTCCTCTGGAGGAAGGAAAAGCGAAAGAGAGAAGTTGCCCGGCCGCACATTGGGTCGCGGCTTCATTTCTTCCCCTCCCTCCGCGGCCGTCCCCTCCGCCTTCTCCCTACCGTTCTTGGAGTCTCCCGGAGCGGAGCCCCCCGCCGCGGCCGCCGCTCCCCCGGAGCCTCCCGCGCCTCCTCCTGCGGCCGCCGCCGGCCCGTTAGCTCCCGCAGCAGCCGTCGCGGCCAGCGCTCCGCCTGCGCCCACCGCCCCCGCCGTGGCCAGGGATCCATTTTCCTGCTCGTCCCCGCTGCTGTTAGCGCGCTTGTTCTTCTTGCCCTTGTTACTCTTCTGGTTCGGCATCGCCAAGGGAGGAGGAGGAGGAGAGGCGGGTCGCGGCGGCGGCAGCCGCGGGAAGCTTGAGGAGAAGAGAGGCGGAGGAGGCGACGGTGGCGAAGGCGCCTGGTGCTGCTGCCGCCTCTCTTGCTTGCTGCCGCCGCTGCTGTTCCCCCCGCCACCAAGCGCGGCTTATTGCAGCTCCATTGTCAAGCGGAGGAGCCAGCTCGCCCTCCCCCTCTCACGCACAACGGGCCCGTCGCATGCACACAAACACACACACCCCACAGCCGCCTGGCCACGGGAAGAAGTGCAAGGCAGGAGAAAGGCGTGTCTCGCTTGTTTTGATTCGGCTTCTTCACCCTCGCCTCGCTCCCCTCCCTGCTCGCTTCCTCCTGCTCCTCCTTCTCCTCCTCCTCGTTGGCGTCGTCTCTCGCCCTGCCAGGCCCTGCTGACAGCGGAAAGCAAAGAGCAAGTGAAAGGAAGGGAGGAGGAAGGCGCGGCTCAGAGGCTGGGCTCGCGGCGCGGCGGCGGCGGCGGCGGCTGCGGGGAGGCGCTTGGGAGCTGCTATGGGTTATTTCAAACCATAATGACTGTGAAAGGGGTTCCCACAGATGTGTATGTCGGGAGCCGTCCCCCAAGAAGGAATAAATATGGGAATCGCGCAGAGGCAAAATCTCTATCCGATTCTTGATCGTCTGACACGCTTCTGGTTTTCGCCCCGCGGAATTTTCTCCTTATTCTTTCTTCGCCCTTCACCTGCATACTTTTGCATGCACGGCTTGCGCAACTTCTGGCCTTGACGTTAATGGACTGCAACTCCCGGCATCCCTCAGAATTGATTAAGCTTGCTAGAGCTGATGAGAGTTGCAGTCGACATCCGGAAAGCCAGATGTTGCTCAACATTGCAATAAGGATTGTCAGCTTAGGACCAGGAGATGTTAGCTCGAATTAGTGTGGAATTCAAAAGAGAGACCTCGAGTATCTGAGAAAGATGTATTTCTCTGCACCAATGCACACCAGAAAAATGCCTCTAGAATGGCTTCCACTTACACATCAGAACTGGCTAGCAACTGAGGTAGGTAGGCTAGTCAGCCTAGACATTCGGGGGAGGGTCACTAAAAATAAGGGGGAATTCATCTCCTCTGCAGGCCTTTAAAAGATGAAATAGTTTTTTAAATTATCTATTTGTATGAAAAAGTGGGGACTACAAGCCTGCACAAGTGTCTAGAGTGTCTTCTGCTAGACAGAGAGGACACAGGGACACTGAGGGAAAGCATGACGTATGAACAGTGCGAATGCATGTCAATGGAATTGAGAGAAGAGTCATAAGAGAATGTAATGGAATTTCAAATGAGTCTGTATGAAAGCTTAAAGACTGGAATATTATATGTTATTCTAATGTCCTGTCAAGTCGTCTCCAACTTAGGGCAACCGTATCAAGGAAAGCCCTCCAAAATGACATATATGACATTTATATTGTATACTGTTTGTATTTTATTAAGGTACTTTTAAAAACCTGCATATGTGATTTCAGTTTCAGTTAGAACACATGCTTATAAGAGGCATATTAATTGCAGCTGTTTAGCCAACAGCTGGATCTGTGTGCTTTGTTTTATTATTTTGGGATAGTGCAACTCTCAATTTGGCAGTATGGAAGCTCCAAGATAGCTCTAGTTAGAAAGTCTTACTGCCAAATTAATTCATGCACACAATCATGAACAGTGGCTTAAAGATGAGATGCAAAGCAGTTGAAAGGATTTCTTTTCCATAATAAAGCATGGTATTTAAGAGCTCTTGCAGTTGCAAGGGTTGAGGTGGGGCTCTTTTTGTAACCCAAATGATTTCCCTAAATGTCACACCAGCTTTCAATCTTGTATGTCAAGATGCTTCAAGGTGAGGCTTTTATTGTGCCATTCATGGAATTTTATTGAGAAACTAGAAGTCATTGGCCTGGTTTGCAGGACACACTGCAATTTGTGGGTTGTACAATCTGTGGATCATGTAACCCATGATGAGCCATGGCATCCATAGGCATCAGGACCTGTCATGTGTAAATGCAGTAACTGCGAGTTATGTAAGAGTGAAATAGTCCTCACATAACTCTACAACAAACCATGTTAAATCCTCACATAAACCATGAGAATCTGGTTCGCACAAGATGAAAACCCTAGGCAGGGCTTGACTATTCAGAACAGCAGCCAGCACACACTGTGGTTCCTCAAAGTTTAATGAGTACACAATGGGCTGTTGTACTGTGCAAAATGGCGCGCTGAATTCCACTCATCACTTTCCATGTTTTCCCATTTCTCCCATCTTTTTTCTTGCTACAGAAAATCCATTATGGAGGAAAATGCAGAATAGCTGCACAATAGCCCTGAATGGTTCTCTAGGAGCCCTCCATCTAAAAACACCACTGATCCCAGTGGAGGTCTCATCACCTAAGGCCTATCATATTTCTGAGTCTGCCGTATCCCTGATACAGGATATGTAGACAGACACTAATAAAGATTTTGTATTATGTCTGTACCTCAGTAAAAATTGCAGAGAACAGTAATCCTTTCCTGCTTTCCTGCCACAGCTCTAGCCACTCCCCAAGATCTTGCAGCATTTTCAGAAATCGGCTGTAGTCATTCTATGGTGACTCACTATGTCAAAAGAGTTTTAAAAAACTATACTCATTTTCTTTCAAAATTCCTTCTAAGTGAAATAAAGCACTCTAACCTATTGCTTCCCATGTCCTACATGAAGGAGCCTTCCCCAGTTTTTGCCCATTCTGGCGAAGACTGAGGGGAACTGAGGTCTAAAGTATCTAGAAGACTGTCCTACAGAAACAGCAAAAGATGACATAGTGGCATGTCAAAGCTTGATTTGGTGGGTGGGGTTCTGCTGCCTATCAGCCATTCTGCTAGCAGTTATTAAGTGCTTCATCATATCCTTTGGCCTGCTAAACTAAATGCAAATCAACAGCTGTATTTGACAACAGATGCTCAAAAAACTATTGCTTTTGCTGCCTGACCAAACATAGGCATTTATCTAGCAGCATCAGTACCTGTATTTTTTCCTCCCTGTAAAGAAATGATTTCGATCAAGAAAAATTTTCTCCTGCATCAGAATTTGAGTTTTGAAAAGCAAGGGGGTCCAACACAAATTTTGCACTGGTGTGTCCTTCTGTCTTGGAAGAGGTGTGTATTACAGCTCCTTTGCCCGAGTGTTCTCAGCCATGTTCCAGTTTTAATTTCCAAGATGCAGTATCAGGAAGAAAGGACACCTGTCTTTGCTGGAAGCTTGTTAAGGAAGACACCTCTTGGGAACATCTTTGATTTGATAGCTATTGGTTTTGCTATCAAATCCTCTACACAGTTATTTCCCTTAATTCTTTAATGTCCACAAGCAGATTCCTAAGATCCCAAAGCCCTTCTTTCGTAAAAAAAAAAATGATATAATTTTAAGGCATATAGAATACATGCTGCATAAAACCATCTAAAAATGGGTCGCTGTGGTGAGGGTGAGAGTCAATCATTGACTTAAGTTGGACATTTAAAAAAAAAGTTTAATTCATCATGGCCCCAAAGTTCATTAGATAAATGGAACATACCAGTGCCTTGTATCCCAAAATTTCTTTCCACATTATCCCATGTGGGAAAAGATGTGAATGTCTTTTCTTTTCTTTTCTTTTGCCTAGTTAAGAAATCTATTTCATAACTCAGCCCAAAGTCCTTCACAGAGATCGCTACTACTTCCCTTTGGACCAATGTTCAAAGCAGCAAGTGTCTTTTTGAAAAACCATTATAACCCTCTTTCCACATATCCCACCCTTTTACAAGACTTTGTTTGCAAGAGGAGGTAAAAATTGGAGTCCTGGGGATCAGGGTGGTTCAAGAGCACAATCAAGACAGAGAAGCCATGTCCCCATACCCTGGATCAAGGAAGTCAAGCATATACAGCAGCTTTCACCAAGCGGCTGCCCTCCAAATGTGTTAAACTACAACTCCCAGCATAGTTGGTTTGGGGGTGATGGGAACTGTAGTTCAAGACATCAGGATGTTGGGTTGACAAAGGCTGATACAAAGGGCTGCATTCCGTGTTACAGAAGCAGATGGATCATCTCATTACAGAACCTCCCATTCCACTCCACCGCTCTGCATCTCCCTACACAACTCCAAAAGTCCTCCAGAGCAGACCTGGGATGTATGAGGGAGGTTTGGGGGAACAGCCAGTCCACTTGCAGAGAGTCAGCACTAGGTACAGCCTACCAATTATTTTTAGAGACCCTGAGTCTCTTAAAACAATTGAGTTTAAGTATTACTTTTGCATCACATGCCCTTGTCTTGTAGATCACTCGCTTCATGTGCTACATTTATTATTGCTTCATTTTCTTGCAACTACATCAGTCCTATGCTCTCAAGGCTTTATTTTGGTTTTTGGTTTTTATTGCCATTTGCTAGCAAAGGCAGCCAACAAATCCCTATTATTAAGAAATCCATAAACATACATTATAGCCTGGAATGCAAGAATAGTCTGGTTTTGATCTACATGTTTATGATTTGTTTTCATTATAATGGGTTATTTTTACTGTTCTGTCTAAGCAATAAGTGGACACAAACTCTTTTTACGATTAGTAGAATGGTGGTTTGTACATTATACCTCATTACATTTTTTATTGTAGATCCAGGATAGTCCAGTGGTTAGAGTGTTGGACCAGGTTCTAGTCCCCACTCAGCCATAAGTTCATTGTGTGATTTTGGGCCAGTCACTGACCATTCTTGTAGGGATGTTGTGAGGATAAAATAGAGAGGAGAGTGATATACACTGCCTTAGGTTTCTTGAATGAGGAAGAAGGCAAGATATAAATGTAATAAAAAAAATGAATTTTATTCAAATTGCAAAAAAATACTGTGGATTTCAAATTGTTCTTAAAAAACAAAAAGAACCATAACCCCTCTAATTTACCCTTGTTCTGCTTTAATTATCTGTGCAATACCACTATCTACTTATACTGGCAGTACATAAGTTCATTCCTCTACCATTAAGCACTGATTTTCTGTGCATTGAAAAATATCTTCCCTGCTACTGATGGCCTTAGGGAGGGAGGAGGAGGAATAGTTCTAGCTGTCACTAAGAAATGATCTTTGAGAACTAATCCAGGGTAATCTTTCTGAAAATGCACGTCATATATAGGGTCCTGCATGTCTGTACAGATATTCAATGCATGTCCTTAATCTGTTGCAGACAAGCTTGTAAAGTATCTTCTGCATATTTTCATATCATAAGGCCAGCCTATAGTCCTAGACAGAGGCACAGTTTTACTGCAGGCATATTTTGGTACCAACTTCAATTATTTTGTGCCTATAAAATGGGGTTTGAAATAAGTCCTTGCCTCCTTTTTGCTTGAAGGCTTGTACAGATCTTTCCTTTCTAGACATCTGGAAATACTACCTTGGCCTTCATTTTG